GAGCGGCGGCCTGCTGTAGCTTTGACCTTTTCGGGGGGGGGGCATGATGTACCAGTTGGTCTACATATTCTTGGCCACGGCTCTCGTCAAACTGGCCTTCTCACTGCTCCTGGCGAGCCTCACGCCATTTCGTCAGCCAGGTTTCATGGATCAGGTCCTGGATTGATGGACCTCGTATACGCTGTCCTGAACATCAGGCTCCTTGTCCTCCGCATCTTCCTTGGCCAAGACACCTCCAGGCACCTGGTGAGCCTCTTCCTGCTGCCGCCGCCGGTGCTGTTTTTTTTGGGGGGGTGCTTTTTAATTTTATTGTTTTGCGTTTTTTTCTTCTGTTTTTTGCAATGTCGGATCTCAGGGTCTGCCGTGCGCGCCCGCGCACTCGCGCGAGGCTCGCGCCCCTGGGCGGCCCCGCAGGCGCCGCGCGGCCACGGCCTGGGCGCGCACACCGGCGCTGCTCCGCCCCTGCTTGCCGGCGCTGCCCCGCTCAGGCCCCCGAAAGCTGCGCACCAAAGGTCACTCTTGCCCAGGGCCACCCTTGCGCGTAGCCGACTAGCGTGTCGCCCCGCCGCTTCTGGCCCACCACGCCTCGGCGCGGCACGCCAGCCATGCCCCCGTCCCCGAGCGCCAAGGTCCTGAGCTTTTCCTGGCCTCCCGCCCCGCAGAGCAGAACAACACGCCATCAGCTCGCAGGGGGTGGCGCGTCACAGGGGCCGCCGCCGCGGAACGCCAAGCAGACGTTCCCGACCGTAGTCCTGCGGGTCCAGTGGGCGGTGGGGTGTCGGACACTCCCGCTGGGGTTCGCTCTCGGCTGCAAGCGTCTTTTGGATTCTGAAGCCCAGCCGGCGCTTCAGAAGTCTGAGTTGCAGAGCTCGGGTTCGCATCTGGCTGCCTACGCGGGCGTCACCACCTCTCGCTGGTCGCGGACAGGCCAGCCTGGGATCGCAGGCCCCCGCGGGCGCTTCGCTCGTCGCGGTCGCGCATCGCGGGGCGCGATGCGCAAAGTTAGGCGACCTGGGCCCTACCAATAGGCTGGTGAGGGTGAAGCACCAACCTCCCGCCCCCATCACTCGCTGGGTCGGCACAGCTGTTGGCCAGGCAGGTCCATGCAGCACCCTCGCCCTCGGCAGCGGCAGCACCGCCAGCCTGATGCCGCCCGGCCTCGATATCGTGGCCCTGCCTTTCGCTGAGGCCCAGCCCCACTCAGGTGCGCGTGCGCCCCGATGCCGACGCGGCTGCGTGGACGGCCGCTCCAGGGTTGCTCGCCGCCTCCACCCTGGAGACACGCTGGTCCCATCGGTCCCGTACCTCCCAGAATGTTGTCAAGGACAGTCGGACCGTTCCATCGCCGAGTGGGGACTCGTCCCACGACTCTGGTCCCTAGTGCCTGGGCCCTGCTGGGTCTCACCTGCGTGACCCTTTTCCTGAGTGCCAGGGTCCCACTGCCGACCCGGCGCCGACTGGGGACACGCGTTCTCTTGGCCCTGACCCTGATCCTGCGTGCCACGCAGCTGGGCCTCACGCGCGCGACCCTGGTCCAAATTAGTAGGGTCTTGCTGCTGACCTGGCGCCGACAGGGGACACGCGTCCTTCCACTCCAGCTTGTACACTGCCGAGCTGCACGGCGACTAGTGCGGTCATGGCCAGGCGGCCAATCTACTGCGCCCACTGCCAGCTGGTCCAGCCACCAACGCGCGAGCGAACCGCACCCTGCCTTTCGACGAGTCGCCATCCCTCTTTGGACATTTGCCGTCCCCAACAGTCCACCCCACACTCCACCAGTCACCTGCATCCTTCCACTTCGTTGTCGCATCCTGCGTCTTATTCCCCATTCCCATGACGACGCCCCGAGACGTCGCCGTGCACCCGCCCAAGTTTTGCTGCGGCAGCCCTGTCATGCCGTGCGTGGGGCAGTCGTGGACCGTGATTCCCTCATCGGCAGGCTGCGCTTGCTTGCCTGCCGTGCCGTCGGGAAGAAGCCGCCTGCCGAGCGCATCCTGGGCTCGCGACCGCCGGGGCAGGGGTGCGACCGACAGGCGTGCCCTCCTTCCCGCCCCCCCCCTCTGCCTCCGCCCCCATCCCCACCCCGCCAGCTGCTCCCCGGCGCCAGCTGCTCCCCGCCCCGGCCAGCTGCTCCCCGCCCCTCCCGCTGCTCCCCGGCCTCGACCCCCCCCCCCGGCCAGCTGCTCCCCGGCCAGCTGCTCCCCGGCCAGCTGCCCCCTGGCCAGCTGCTTCCCGCCCCGGCCAGCTGCTCCCCGGCCAGCTGCTCCCCGCCCGGCCAGCTGCTCCCCGCCCGTGCCTCCTGAGCCCCGCCCCTCCCGCTCACCGCCCCCCGCGCGGCCTTCCCCCCGCCGCGACTCGCCCCGCACGTCGGCTGCTCTCTTGCGGGGGCGCCCCGTGTCGCAAGCCTGGAGATTGACACCAACACCAAAATCGGCGGTGTGCCTCCACCGAGGGAAGAAAATCCCGATCTCGGTGATGGTGGTCATATTCTGGCTTCCAAGGTGACCGAACGATTGCCACCGACACCGAAATCTAGGATCACCTTCCCCCCTGTGGAGGCAAACTCTTGTGTTGGTGTTGGTGCCCATTTCCAGGCCTCCAATGCTGGCCTCGCCCGGCCTCGTCGGCCACGGGGGGGGGCCGCGTGCCCGGCCTCGCCATCCTCGCGCAGAGCAGGGGTGGCCCGCGGCCCCGCAGAGGCCGCAGGGCCAGCGCGGCGCCGCCGACGGCGGCCTCGGCCCCGCCGCGCGGCGCCCTCCTCCGACCTCCTCCCGCCTCTCCGTCCCGCGTCCTCCCATGCCCCTCGGCCTCCCTGCCTCCTCCCTCCCAGCACCCTCCAACCCTCCTCCCTCCGCTTTCTCCCTTGCCCCTCTCCCGCCTCTCCTCTCCCTCCTCCTCCTCCTCCTCATCCTCCTCCTCTCCCTCCTCCTCCTCCTCCTCCTCCTCTCCTCCTCCTCCTCCTCCTCCTCCTCCTCCTCCTCCTCCTCCTCCTCTCCTCCTCCACCTCCTCCTCCTCCTCCTCCTCCTCCTCCTCCTCCTCCTCCCTTGTCGTAGATCTCTCCACGGGAGTAATCGCCCCTTTTTTCCGCTGCCGTGCCCCTGTTGCGCTGGACTCCTAGGACAATCGCCCTGCTGGAAACCCAGGACAGTGGTTGCGCGAGGTCTTAATTGCGAGGTTCCTGCGGATGCCACGGGCTATCCACGCCCATAGCGCAATCTGTTGCGTCTTTCGTTGATGCATGGCCCCGAATCGGCTATCCACGGTAGTGCATTCTTTTGAAGCCTAGTGCCCTTGACTTTCAAGATAGCGCTTTTATCCAGACGCCTTGCGTCCGGTAACCGTGTCGAGTGGGCTGTGCCTAATTTGACGCTCCTCCCGCGCTCGTTTGATCTGTCTTACGCGCTCTTGACAATGACGCTTGCAGGATCAAGCCGCATGTTCGGATTTTCGCAGGGCTTTGACCAGAACCTTGGGGCACCCCTGGCCCGTGGGCCTGGGGCATTACAAGTACTTGATCCATGCAGGGACCAAACTTCACCACCTACCAAACCACCCCAACCCAACCCGAAGGCCTCCATTTGCCCTCCATTTCCAGTGGGGGGGGTCGGGGAACATCGAGAAAACACGTATGGAACCCATACCCCCCCCAACCCGAAATTTGGGTCTTCGGGTTGGGTTGGGGTGGTCTGGTAGGTAGTCAAAACTTGGGTAACCTTTCCAGATCCTGTAACTTGACCTTCGGAGTGCCCGCCCGGGAAACTAAGTGCAACAGGAGTTACCAAGCTTCAGGGCCTCTAAATGTCATGTGGGGAGAAGAAAGTTCGAACGTCAGTTGGCGTTCTTCCTTTTGGCCTCCTCTTGGGGCCGTCTTGGAGGCCTCGAGGGCCTCTCTGGGGAGCTTCGGGGCCGTCTTGGGGCGATCTTGGGTGCCTCTTGGGCAATCCGGAACTCCGTGAAGATCGAAAAGACGAGAATGCGAAAGGCAGAAGCACCAGTGATTTGGGCCCCTTGGGTGGAACCGAGGCCTCCAAGACGGCCCAAGAGGCCCCCGAGAAGGCTCCAGTACGGATCCATGGGGCCCTTAAAGGACATGTGTGATACTGAATATCGAGGACAGGGGAACTCATGATATCACTGCACTCAGTGCCTGCAGCGCTGGGGCGGGCCTGGGTCTGGTGACGAACGAACAACACACACAACCATACCTAGTGGGGGCTCGGAGAGGGCTATGGGTGCGTGTTGTCGGATGGGGTTCCCGCTTGAACGGGAGCGTCCCCCGGGTCCTTCAGCCCGCACCGATACCCATAGCCAGTCTTCCTCCCAACGACCGCCCTGTGGCTATTGGTGTGTGTTGTTCGTTCACCATCTGGGGGGGTCTCAGGAGATCTTATCTCCCCTCGTCCCTGTGCAGCTACGACGGGTTAAGATTCGAGAGGTGTCTCCGATCCCTCCTCTACTGCGTGCCGACCCGCCCTCTTTCCTCCTTCCCTCCTCCCTTCCCCCTTCATCCCTCGTCCCTCCTCCCCCCCCCCTCCCTTTTCCCTCCCCTCCCCCTCCTTCTTCTCCCTCCCTTCCCCCTCCTTCCCTCGTCCCTCCTTCCCTCCTTCCCTCCTTCCCTCCTCCTCCTTCCCTCGTCCCTGCCCCTCCCTTCCCCCTCCTTCCCTCCTCCTTCCCCCCTCCTTCCCTCTGCCTCCCCCCTCCTTTCCTCTCTCCTCGTACTCGTGCTCCGCAGCCCCAGTTCGGTTTCTTCTTTCGGAGGATGCATGGTGACGGCGATAGCGGGCTTCGACAGCACAGGTGGCAGCGGCAACGTCGTCTCCTTGGGTACGCTTGAAGCTGTATGCGTCGGCAGCTGTGTCAGGACCGTCAGTTTGTGCAGTGATTGGCGCCATGTGCTGCATCTCGAGCGCCACCAGGCAACGTTATCTAGAGAGCATCTCCCTCCTGCGCTGCACATCCTCCGCACGCGTCCCCTCCGCTCATCTCGCCGCCTCTCCAGGGCAGCCTCCTGGACGAGGCGTCGTGCAAGAAGCGCAAGATAGTGTGGGACCACTACTGCAGCGTCAAGGACTCCCAGGCCCTCCCCCCTCCTGCCCACCTGGGACCCCTCGCCCCTGGCCTCCCGTGCCTCCGCGCCGCCTCTGATCTCGCCATAGCCGCGGGGCGGCCTGGCGCGTCGAGGGGAGGCAGGCCCGCTGCCTCTCCGTGCACTCTCTCCTCTCCTCTCTCTCTGCCCGCCTCCCCGTCCGACTCCTACTCCAAGGGCGCCCTCGAGGGCGCGAAGTTTTTCGCGCTTCGCGCTTCGCGCTTCGCGCTTCGCGCTTCGCGGTTCGGCTCCGATTCCTCCTCATCCTCCTCTTCTCCCCCGGGAGGCGGCGCCAGCGCGCGAAGTGATTCGCACCGTCGCGCTCTGCGCGGCGCGAGAGCGCGAAGCTGGGAGCCCCTGCACTCCCCCCCTCCCCTCCCCCTCCCCTGCGCCAGAGTGCGCCTTGCTTGGCCCCGTGCCGGTGCACGGCGACGGGCGGGCACCGGGCGCCCACGAGAGGCGCCCGCGGGCGGGCACCCGCCAGGCACACCGGCCGGGCACGGGGGCGAACGCCCCGTCACTGCGCTGTTGGCGCTGGCGGCTGGGCAGAGTCACTGCGCGGGCGACGGAGCGGACTCCGCCACGCACGCACACACACTTTTTGATCCGCGGGTCGAGAGCGCAACTCTTCTGGTCGAAGCTGAGCGGGCCGCGCACAGCTTGAATTAACGAGAGGGGGGCAGAAGGAGGGGCCTCACATCGAGGCCAGGCGGGGGTAAAGCCCCGGAATCAGGCGGTGCCGAGGACGATGTGCTTGCAAAGGAACGCCTTGGACAGGAACCCGGCCATTCGCACGCACGCACACACACACACACACCCAGCGCACGGGGCGTCGAGGAGGCGGCCTCGGGCGGGCACCCGGCGAAGTCCCGCCTCACGCGTCCACTTTCTGGGAGCTGGGTCGTGAGGGGGAGGGTCGCCACTCGCCAGAGCACCCCAACCCAACCCGAAGGCTTCAGTTTGCCCTCCATTTCCAGTTGGGGGGGGTCGGGGGACACTGAGAACACTTTTTTTGATTCGCGGGTCGAGAGCGCACCTCTTCCGGTCGAGACACTGACAAAACACATGGGACCCGTACCCCCCCCCCACCCGAAATTCGGGTCAAAAACGGGTCTTCGGGTTGGGTTGGGGCGGTCTGGTAGCTAGTCAGAGGGGTCCTGAGATCGGTCGCCGCCGTCGGCATCCCATGGCTTCTCGCGGCCCCCCGGGATCGTCGGCTCTCGGGACGCAGCGCCGGCCTGGGGGGGAAGCCCCTGCGGGGTCCAGGGCCCCGATTTTTGGGGCCCAGCTCCGGGGGCTTGGGCAGCCCATGCCGTCCACAATTGACCACCAAGGCCTGGCGCGAGTATCTTGACCGACTCCTCCGCGACCTGTTCCCCACGTGCTGCGCTGCAGGCCGTTTATCACCACGTGATGGCGGAAATCCTGGACAGCCTGGCAGAGGGGAGGGGGGGGTGCAGGGGCATAGCAGAGGGGAGGGGGTTGCGGGGGCTGCGGTGGGAGCGTTCGCTAAGGAAGGCGCCCCCAACACTTGTGCGTTCTTGCATGGATCTGAGTGGCCGTGTGGGCCGCAGGGGGTCTCCGCACAGCTCCATGGCCCCCCTTCTTCTCCTTTCCCCCCTCATCTTTTCCCTCGCTCCTCCTCCGTGAGGCTTGCGACGCCCGTGGGCATTGGCGTGACGGCGGATGTTGGCCACGGCATTCTGGCGCAGCGCATGGATGCTGGTTTCTCCAGAGAGCACCCGCTTCGCCGAAAGAGAGATCTCCCTCTGACGCGGAGAGCCCTGGCTGCCGCAGCGTCGCCGGTGGTTGAGCCACTCAGCTGGAGACAAGCCCAGACCTTCTGCACTGCAGCGGATCACTCGTTTTAAGTCGGGCCCGTCCCTCTACAGGAGGGATATTCAAAAATAGTCCCCAAATAGTCTGGGGATTTTTTTAATGCTATTATGAAGCATTTTGGGTGTATTTTTTGAAAATTCCTAACGTTTCGCCCAAACATCCCCCTGTAGGGGGACAGGCCCGACCTAAGACGCGTGCCTGCCAGCCCACCCAGCCTGCACCTGCGCTCGCGCGCCGCTGCGCGCGCGTGCGCGCGCCACGCCGGGGCGCCTGCTGCGGTGCTCACGCCCTGGTGCCCTCCTGCGCCCCGCGAGCAATCGGCACGGGCAGCGCACCCAGGCAGCACGAGCCGGGCGCAGACACCGGGCAGCGACGCGAGCAGAGCAGACTCACTAGCCTCGAGCGTATCCCTACCCTTAAGATTGACACGCCAAAAGGCGATGACAATCTTAGGGATTCGCCCTCAAAAAATGAGGGAATCCCTAAGATTGGCATCGTGATGAGGAGGTGCCCAGCATAGGGATGGGATATGTTCCAGGCTGGTAACAGACCGAGCTCTTCCACCAAGGGGCTC